AGCTTTGCTCTTTTGCTCAAAGACTATGTTAAGATTTTGGAGGAGATGGTCACAGCAGAGCAGATAGGAAGGTCAAGCTGAGCCTTCAGCACATACCCACACCTCCTGCGAGCACCTCCTTATATACCCTAAAGTAGCATAAAGGCGCTAAATTAATTAGAAGGACTCGCCTTTAAGAAAAGGGCAGCATGCACACACTAGCAGCTGCTATTTATCCAATTATCAGTTAAAAACGCAAGCCCAAAGGAGTCATCAGCAGCATGGAAATCCCATCGCGACTGCCTTCCTCTGCTCCGTGTTCTGGTCTTTGTCCTCCCCTCCAGCGCTCCCCTTCTGCTACGTGTTGGGTGACCGGGACCCCTGAAGACCTCAGAAGCATCCCAGGTTGGAGAGTCACTGCAGCAGGGGTACAGCCTTGGCTTTAGTCCATGACTTCCTCCCAAAATGAAGCTGCGCTGAACCCCAGGGGTTCCTTTCCCTCTCTTAAAAGGGTGGCCTGCTTCTTATTCAGAGGAATAATCAATAAAATTCAACGGGTGGATTTTCATTCATCACCAACCAGAAATCTAATCTCACGTTAACAGCACTACCCCGAACACAGCTATCACATCCATCATTTAAGTTATCTGCTGTGGGTACTAGCATGCGTGGATTTTACAGCTGCAGTGAGCAGGGCTGCCTACATCACGACGACTAATTTATTCTCAGAAAGGCTAATTTAATCTGGCAGTGAATGTTCTCAAAGCCTCCTTGCACAGAAAAGCTTTTATCTTGGTTGGCTTAACAACAATACAGCATATCCAAAAACGTGGAGGGATGCTAAAGAAGAACACTACCCTTGTGTTTTGAGTCCTCTAGTACTTCTGTCTGAGAAATTTCTCTTGGTAACCAGAGACTTTGAGAAAACATAGAGTGCCTCTGTTTTTTTTAAAAAGCCAACTGTGTTTTCAAGGCAAAATATACAACAGCTCAGGCTACTTCCCCCTCACATGCAACTGTGCCTTGACAGAAAGAGATGTGCTCTTAATAAAACTAAAACCCAGCAAAGATTGTTTAGTATTAGACACCACATTCACTTCCAGCCGTGCATCTGCATGGCAAGAGCGATGGCCAGCACGCCTGGCCTGGGGTGCACTACCTGCCACTGGAAGGTGACTTTCCCCACCCCACACTACAGAGGAATAAACTTCAGAAGAAATTCAACAGCCCTTCGTGTTAAGAAGCTGTGTAACCGCATCATGAAGCATTTCAGAGAGAGCATCCTTCAGATTTCCAGCCTCCGCTACCTGTGGGGGCCAATAATTAATTAAGCAATCAGAAAGCTTTTTTTTCATTGTTTTTAAATTCTAGTTCATGTTTTCCCCTTACTTGTGAACGTATGCACAGAGGCAGCACGCACCCAAAGTCACCCTTAGCCGTTTGAACCAGAGTGCGCTGCCTCTTAGATCTGCAATGAGGGTCACCGTTACCACCTGTGCTGTATGGACACGGCATGAAGAAGTTGTCCTCACCTGGATCTGCCCCTTGGCACGGAGATCACTGGAGAACCAAGTACTGTCCCTCAGAATTAGAGGGGCTAAAACAAGGGGGTGTAAGGCATTTTAAGAGATGCAGCTGTACCAGGATAACCCTCCACGCTCTTAGGAGTGCCACCGTCATCCTGCTGCAAAAGAAAAGCTGGTGCTGTGCAAGGATCGCAGCCTGGATCATGACTGAGAGGGCTCCTTTGGTACAAGGGCAAGAACAAACCCCAAATGGCGTCCAACAATTTAGGACGA